GGAGGCCTCTGGGACTGGATACAAAGAAAAACGATCAATCGACATGTGCTCCTTGACATGTGCTCCTTTTAGTAGGCGGGTGTGGGCAGTTAACAGCCAACAACTCACAGGCAACAATAACAGGAGGGAACCTGTGGTCTCCCCTGGCGCCATTTGTTGTGCCCCAGGCGTCCAGAAAAGGGACGTTGCAGGTTCCCCAGACCTCCCTGCAGGCAGGTTATCTAAATGTAGAGGCAATCAGCTCAGTAAAGATCCAAGTTGATTGTCAGTGTTGATACTGGCCTGGGACACACTACCCACTGTCAACTGCCTTTTAATTAAAGGCTTTGACTCCAGGCCATCCTTTGTGGTGACTTCAGGTCTGCGTTTGCAAGGCCTCCACACGGGCCTTCCCCGAGTTAGGTTCTCATGGGGCCCCTTTCGCCCTCATAACTCATTGGTATCAAAGTGCCGCACTCCAGGGAAACGGCCAGGTGTGTGTGTGTTTAACTGATTTCAGAGACAGGAGTGGAAATAGAAACATCAATGATGAGAAACAAGCGTGGCTGCTGGGAGCCTGCACCCCGGCCTGTGCCCTGATGGGAGTCACACCCTGACCTCCTGGTTCAGAGGCCCATCAGCGACCAGTCACATGGGGGGAGAAAACCACACACGTGGTTCCAGTGGCACTGGGTTCCCGGAATGGAGACTAGGAGATATTTAAGAGCGCGCTGCTAGACTGGTCGGGGACTAGCCCCAGCTTCTCCACTTACCACTCGGAAAATGTTGCTTAACTCTGTGACCCAGTTTGCTCCTGTGTAAAACGAGAGCAGTATCACCGATTTCAAAGGGTGGCTATGGGGGCTTTTAGAAACCGTTGGAACCCGGAGCTCAAAAAAAAAAATGTTAGCTGTCGTCAGCATGTTTCCAAAAAGAATCCTCTGAGTCCAAAAAGAATCCTTATGATTAAGCAGCTTGGCCGGGTAAGGAGGGAACACCTATTCGTCCCGCACCTGCCACCGCCCACACAATTTCTCAGTTGAATAGAATCGCCCGGTCCCGTCCCGTCGGACCGGAAACCCCAGAGCGAAAGGCCGCCAGAACTCGGGTCGGCGAGGGGCAGAGCCAGAATGCGACACAGAGACGTCAGAGGCCGGAGCCTTCTCAGCCCAAATTTCAGCTTCCAGTTCTGAGGAATCGGAGCCAACCCGGTCCCAGGCTCCCGCCCCTGTCGCTCTGAGGCG